AAAAATCTCTAATAGGCTGTAAATGGGTGTATAAGATCAAAACACGATCTGATGGTTCTATGGAGCGTTATAAGGCACGCTTGGTTGCCAAGGGTTTTACACAGGAGTATGGAATCAACTATGAGGAGACATTTGCTCTAGTTGCTCGTCTTACATCTGTGTGCAGTTTGCTTGCTATCGCTGCTTTGCGAAGATGGAAATTGTTTCAGATAAATGTGAAAAATGCTTTTCTTAATAGTGACCTAGAAGAAGAAGTTTATATGAAACCATCTCCTAGGCTCAACCATCCTCCAAAGAAGGTATGCCGATTGCGTCGTGCATTATACAGGTTGAAGCAATCCCCTTGAGCTTGGTATGCAAAGTTTAGTGCTACTGTGAGTGAGTTTGGTTTTACTTCCAGTCCACATGATACAGCTTTGTTCATTCGTAAAACTGCTTGGGGTATGGTTAGTTTACTTCTTTATGTTGATGACATGATTATTACTGGAGATGATGTCGCAGGTGTTGAGGAGTTAAAACAATCTCTCAGTCATAAATTTGAGATGAAAGATCTTGGCATTCTGAGCTGTTTTTTGGGGCTTGAAGTGACCTCTTCAAATGATGGCTACCTGCTTTCTCAAGTAAAGTATGCCTCCGATCTTATTTCTAAAGCTGAACTCAATGATGGTAAAAGTGTTTCTACACCTCTTGAATCTAATGTCAAGCTTACACCTATGGATGGCTCTCCACTTTCTGATCCTACTCACTATCGACAATTGGTTGGTAGTCTGGTTTGTCTTACTACGACACGCCCTGATATAGCATATGCAGTTCACATTGTTAGTCAGTTTATGACTGCTCCTCGCTCCACTCATTATGCAGCAGTACTTCGCATTATTCGATATGTTAAGGGAACATCATTTCATGGACTCCATTTTTCTGCCAACTCCTCCCTTATGCTTCGCGCTTACTCTGATGCTGATTGGGCTGGTGATCCTTCTGATCGTAGATCTACCACTAGTTATTGTCTTTTCCTTGGTAATTCTCTTATCTCTTGGTGGAGTAAGAAATAAACTATTCCATCTCGCTCTAGTATTGAAGCTGAGTATAGAGCTCTCGGGGATACCACATCAGAACTTCTTTCATTGCGGTGGCTTCTTGAAGATATGGGCATTCCTCAACCTTTTTCTACTGATTTATATTGTGATAATCAAAGTGCTATGTAAATTGCTCATAATGATGTCTTTCATGAACGCACTAAACACATTGAGGTTGATTGTTACTTTATTCGCCATCGTGTTGCACAAGGAACTGTTCATTTGGTTTTCATTGGTTTCATTGATCAACCAACAGATCTCTTTACTAAGACTCATTTTCGTGGACGCTTTCATACTCTTCTCTCCAAACTCAAGTTGGTTTCATCACAACCACCTTGAGTTTGAGGGGGATGTTAAGATGTGAACACAA